AACAGTAAATTTAAATACCTTACCTTGCATCGATTAGCACTATCAGTAGGCTTTTTCAGAGTCAATGGTGATGGTGCGACTGGCAGAGATGAAGGAGCTGCACGTTTTGCAGCTGATGGACCAGGTTCGTCGTCACTCAAGGTGATTATATCCGAGCTTGGACCAGGGCGACGCTAATGAGACACCATTAGAACAGTTAATTATGCGAACAGTAACTTTGAACTGACCTTAACCGGCAGTGTACTAGTCTGATTGCTCATCAATGGGGCAACTGCAGCTATTCGTGCGCCAACTGGTAGGGGATGTGGTGGTAATGGGGCTGTTCGCTGAGCCAGTCGAGGGGAGATTGACGGTGTGTCCGAGGCGATCCTTATGCTGTTCATTGCACTGCTTGGTATTGTTTGGATTTCCGGTGGTCTTGGTATTAGCGCACGTCCTGGCGCCTGAAAATCAATAATGGTATGTTTCTGTAACTTGCTTCCAATTTTTAATGGGCAGGTCGGCAAGGAGGGGGAGGGAGTTTTGCTAGTTCCCATCGACATGTCGATCGATCTAGTCAATTATTTTATTAGCTTACAAGTCTTCACATGTTTTACCGGAGTGAGACTTGTAAACCGGAACTAGTAAAGCAGCGACAATGCAACATGCCCCCTCCCCCGTCGCCGAACTGCTCCTTTTCAATAATAAGGTTACAAAAAGTTTGCCTTTTCTCGAACAGTAGCCATGGGACTTACTGTAGATGTTCCCTCTACAGGTGTCTGGTCGTAAATACCTTTGAATGGAAATTCTAAGCTGTTGTCGAGCGTCATTGCCAGCTCCTGTAAAACGACAATTAGCGCTGACTCGGTCTAGATGGTCGATCAGTAATGAAGGGCTAAATACCACTAACTAAGCTACATCTGAAACTAACCTTTACAACTCCTCCGTTCCTGAAGGTTTCCGCTGCTGTGAACGACGCGGCTGTCATCTGGAAATTCAAAATCATCGAATCCTGGGAAGACTGATGGAACCACAATTCAGAATCCAAAGAAAATTGCTTTCATATTCAATTCCTACGTAGAATATTTTCAAAACTAAATAAAAGGGGGTGTGTGACAAGACAATCGCAATACGAACACGACAAAAGACAACTCGTCCGTCTCGCCGCGTTGGTAGGCGCGGCGAGCGACGCTGCGCAAGACGGCATCTTGCCTGGCCGTTTCAATCCAAGTGTTAGGAAAATTTGATATGGCCCGTCAAGGAGAGTTGTCTTCGCTTGAATTCAGGCGAGTTTTACTATACCAATTTGATTAACTGATCGCGGATTTGCCGCGCCTCGCCGCACGATACCCCGCGCGCGACGACGCGACGAATTACGATTGTCTTGTCCGTGTTCCAATAACGGTAAGGAAAATAACTGCTAACCGTGCAGAAGCAATCCCTGCAGGTTATTAGCGAATCGGTTGGTGCTAGGAACGAACGATGTACACATTCCGATGGTCTCACGACTTCCAACTAAAGTATTGGGTATCCAATAATATTCAATCACGCATGAATATAAAAAAGGAATAGACGAGGTAATGTTAGTTGGCGGAGAGGGCAGGGGGCACGTGCAACTGACTTGTTGTTTTCGCTGGCGAACTGGGACGTGTCCAGGAACTTTTTGGGGCAGTCGTCAATTGCCGTTCTCTCACAGAGCAGGCGACACTGGTCGAAAACCGGGCTGGTGTCGCAACAAACGCCGGTCCTCGACTCGCCGAGGAAATAGCATATTGCGTCTCCCTCTGATAGCCGGACCATCAATGCGCATTGTTTTTCTTTAGCGTGCCCCTCAAAAAGTTCTAAAAGGAAAAAGGCCACAGTGGGAAACTACATCATCCACTTTGATCCCGCCCGCCCTACAGGCGATAAATTTAACTTACAAATTCAATCAGTGGAATCGCTTCAAAAGGTTATTGATGGTCCAATAAGGGTACTGTACGAGCAAGGGTTACCGTGAATCAATCTCATGGTACGGAGGGGCTTTCACAACTCTAAACCAATGAGGAGGGGGGGGGGGTGTATTTGGCATAGATGATTTTCTCCTATGCATTAGGCACACTACACTCGACTGGTGGACCACTCTGAATTAGTGCCAGACCTGGACATTCAGGACGCGCTCTCAGCCTCCCAGACAAGTCTTTTGGAGAAAGGCTTTCCTCAGCAGCACCAAAGGAGGAACACCAAAACCTAAAAGGTCGGTAAATACTCTGAAAACGCCCTAAGCGCCCATATAACACCGGGTTAAGGTAATCCTTTAGTACTGCCGAAGGCTTCTCAGACTGTTTACAACCTAATAGGGAGATAGTGATGTTTATCTCTTCCTCAGCGTCGATACTAAAGATATGAGAAGGCTTCCGAGCAGTTCTGAACTAATGGCTAATAACATGATATTATTATGTGCAAGTCCGCTTACCCCACTGCGTTCCAAACTGAATTCATGTGCTGCTATACTTTTCGGCTGGAAATGAAGTACACTGGTAGGACAAACTCCAAGCATCATGGTGCTGGTCTAAAAAGGGTCAGAATAAAAGACAAACTGTGAAAAAAGAGATGAAGAAGAAAGAAAGAAGAAATGAGGTTCTAAAAAAACAATGGCACTAATCATACCCAGTTTTTCTGTGCGCCAAATTGACGACATCGCTGCGATTTTACTGCTACATGTGCATATATAGTTCGCTCATGAGTGCCACCCAAATGACATGCTTTACAGAAGAAGAACAGCGACACACCATGGGCTTCACGCAAATGGTACATCAGACGAGCGTCCTAAAAAAGAGAAATAAAATACAAAGCACTACGAAGTCAGCACAGAAAACAAAATCAGAAGGTAAAATAGGGGCAGTTGGAGGGTTTGGTTGACTTCAGGGGCAAGGCTATGTCACGTCCTTCTTTAATCGTCTTATCTCGAGCAGGGCTCGCCGTACCTTGGAGATCCTCAGTGGCGGTAGCATTAAGTCACAGGAAGCGGTTGCATTTCGCCATTGGGGGGAGGGTTCCTATTTGGCCTAAGGGGATTTTTTCTGATTGTTGAAACATTGCCATTTCTTTTCACATTTCATGCATACTATACCATCTAGTCGGAGACCCAGCAAGACGAGTATCATAGATCATGGTCTCTACTCCTTCCCCCCCCCAAGCGGCAAAATGAACTTTTGGCAACATGGTCGGGTGGTCGTGAAAGGAGGTTGTGTCGGAGAAGAAAATGAGGGGAGGGGGGGGGTTCGTTTTCAGCAGAATCCTCCCTTATGCCAAATGTGGTATGTCTCATAGGCTAAAAATGCTGGTGTATCTCGCTGAATGAACACTATATCTCTGAGAGACCGCAGACGAATAGAAATGTATGTGGCTTTGTCTTGCTGTCCTTCCCCAGTTATTTTCACCCTCGAAAAGCATGGAAACATAGACAGAACATGCACCGAAATACTAGTTGGGGCGCATGTCGAAAAGGAAATCTCAGACTGACGTTCCAGTCCAAAAAGAAGGAATAAATTATTATTAAATGGAAAAATATGCTAAAATAAATACCGTTCGGAACATCAAATTGCAATGGCTACATCCATAAAACAGTCGATCCGGTGTAGCATGCGCTTGACGGTGATGCTCGTAGAGCGGTGTGTTGTAAGCAATCGCCGAACATTCTCCACACGATACCGAACCCGTGGGGCCGTGAGATAACTGAAAATACGACTACTGAGCATGGATAAGTAATCCAAAGTATAAGCCATATTACTCGGAAAACAAAGTAATCTCTCTGACGTTATTCTGGCCCAAAATCATTCAACACTACTCAATCTTACTTGAAATATTAACGATCTCAACGGGACAGTTTCAGAGAAGGCGTTCAGAGTAGAATCTCAGTAGTTTTTCCAAAAATGGAAATTGTCGTCGACTGGAAGAAAATATACCCAGACCCTCATCCTCCACCCGCCACTGATGCCAGTTTAAAGAAAAACTTTAATCAAAAATTAATCAACTTTCTGGAGAACCAGTAAGGAGTTCGTAAATCTAGCAAGATGGACCGCAGGATGGAAAAAAAGAAATAGGTGGGGAGGGGAGTCATCAGCACGGACGAATTTCCAGAGGGATCTCTGCCGACAACCTGACAGCATATTCAACGCGACACGTTTGCTTCACTTCACCATGCGATGCTGCATACTGCCAGTACGTCTATTAATAAAATACAGCTGGATCATATCATTGTGATTCTCTTTATTCGCAGAATGAAATAGAACACCACAGCTTATCCTGCAGATCACTCACCCGATGAACCTTGAACAGCTGTTGACTTTCGAAAGCAGCACAGCAATTACGGCAAATGAAAAAGAATCCTCGCAACGGTACAAGCCGAATACCTTAGAATAGCAACGGACTGAGAATGTCATGTTCATCGAAGAATAATAGGCTCAGCGGCTGAACCAATTGGCAGGGTTCCTTCCATGTCCAAGTAGTGCAGCCCATATTCACAAATACTGCTGACTTCCGTTCCGCTGCTCCACAATGACCGATAAAGGTGCCTCGGCCCATTTAAAGAGTTGTGCAGTTATGTACGGTACCGTACCGCTACCGTATACAACTGCAACCGGTGGTGGCCGCAGCACCATTGTCAATCATCAGAGAGCCGCGATAGCGTGACTGTCTTTGTAATTCCGCACCCCACTACCTGGCAAGAAAGGAAACCTAGGACTCGGTTCAGCATCGGGTCTGAGTTAAACTCGATTCCAACTCCTACCTTGTCGCAAATCCCTCCAGCATCCGTACTATGCGCAGACATCTCATGAGTCCTCAGTGCATACGAAGTAATGAATGAAGAGCTGCATTTTGAACATTTGAACTTCTTCTCACGAGCACATGGCGCTGCCGTTCCGCTGCTTCCAGGAGCACTGCAACTCGATTCGTGAGCAATACTTTGAGCAATAGGATTACTTACTACTATTACCACAGAAATCAATTTTACGAGAATAAAATGAACAGCAAACTCACTATTCAACTTCCGCAACCACTTTCAAGTCCTCGTCTGCAGTTTCATCTTCGACAGGAATCACAACGGCGGCGCTAGCCGATGCATTCTTCGACTTCTACAAGAAGATATTAGTGATTTCATTCAAGTAGACTTCATTTAAGTTATTTACTAGGTTTCATCCACCCGACTACAGACTGGACCTGAAGACCGCTTCCTTTCATGTCAATGAACGTGGTCTCACCTCAGCAGTGATGCATTCAATCGCATCATCCTCGTCATCCTCCACGTAACCAGGCATTCCCGATCCGGCATCAACTACACCATCAGCAGCCTCTACTCGTACTTCAGCCGAAAGAGCAGCCTGCGTTGTGTCGACGCTCTCGACAAGATCATCGTCTACTTTAGGGCTATCTGAACAAAGAAGTCCCATCAATTAGTACCGCTACACAGATAATCATTTAATTTTACCTATTTCAATTATGTCATCATCTGGCACATCTAACGCAGCAGCATCCAATTGTGGCGAAGATTCTTTTGCAGTATCGTATGATTCGCCGAGTTGCTCACAAACGCTACGAACCAAATGTCGCATAGTCATCGCAATGTCCATATTAACTAAACAAAACACCTATGACTATTATTCTTTCACGTGCTTTATGGTAATCTGAGAGCCTAAGCAGCGTACATCATCGGGATGGGTGAACTGTCACTATGATTATTCTTTGAGCACCCCTTTTTTGAGGGATGAGACCCAGAGGTTCAGAAAGAGTCATAGTCTTGTTCGCTGCGGATGAAGGGGCGTGTCAGGAGGGATAGGCTTGGCATGCTGCCAGCTCGTTCTCCACAAGCTGCTAAGGCTGGAAAGCAACAAAAATTGGTGAAAACGACTGAACCGAACGACACTATACGTCTTGCCGTTTGCTCGCTTCAACCTGGGTCTGATTGCGTGCTAAAAGCGTCCCTACTGGCCCATCATCCGCAGCGAACAGGACTGCAACTTCATTCTCACGACTGCTCTAACGTGACAGTGCTGCGGCCTGTCACTGGGTAAAATAATACAGTAAAGGGATTGTCATGATGACAAACAGGATGATCACCTCCTAGCAAGAAATGGTGCAGTGCGTCTGTCATGAACCATACATCGCGTTGAACAGTTTAACATGGAAAATTTCGGTGAGGCGTGTTGCCTCCGCGGACAGGGAATGAAAATCGCGGTTGTACAATAAAGGCAATCTGCCCTTTCAAACTCTACATCGTTTTCTCTTCAGACAATGGCTCGACCTCCTTGACAAGACGTTCAACGGAAGCCGCTTGTCATCAAGGTGCTGAAACAATACGCATTTGGTAGAATATACCAAGCACAAGAGGGCAAATAGTTTACGACAAACAGTCCAGCAACTACCTCCGGCACCACCAGTTTTGTATCCAGTATAACTAGCTGACGGCCATTGGAACTATTAATCAATATCGCATGGGAAAGCCGATGATTCTGAAAAAAAAGATCATCCCAGCTCCTCGAAATTTAACCACTAACTGGAATAACTTCCTGTAGAAGCTACCCGAGATGCAAACCTAAATTTTGCATAATTTACACGTCATATTTGGTTCATCCATATGCATTCCGAAGTGCAACAGGAAAGCAGTTCGTGACGAAAATACCTAAACTGCTCGTTAAAACAGCACATTTTAATCTTTAAGCTTACTCCGTATTACCTGCCGTATCAAAGCCACAACTGCATTTCTGCTGCATAAAGTATGAACGACACTGATGCGCCCAGAAATCCTCCACATGACAGAATGTCATGCCACAATCGGAACATTGGAATCTGAAACAAACGTGAGTATTGAGGGCATTTAAGGGCCACCCTTGCAACTTTGATGGTGATTCAAGCATTACATGAAACGCATCAGCGTCATACTTTTCGTCAGCATTTTGCGCATACGGGAGCGTTTTGAGCGGTTGGAAAGTGAGGTGTCGATCCAGCGTTTTGAGTGAATAAAAAGGTGCAGGTATCGATCCAGCGTCTTGAGCGTTTTCGCGGGTGCTTTGAATTTTCGCGGGCAGTCGCTGAAAACGCTGGCGTACGCTCAAAACGCAAGATCAATTCCCAAACCTTCCTGTTGGGCAGGTGGTGTAGTGACAGTTGGCGCGCTCACCACTCGCCGGGTTCAAATCCTGGGTCGACTTCCCGCCTAGGCCAACCAAGCCTTCTACCCTCCGGGGACGGGTACCAGATTCGTCTGGGAGGATAAAACACTGACTTGTACATCGGCTGGCCACCGCAAGTCATTGTATAGGCCACATCGCATTCAATAAGCCACTACGATTCTGAATGGAAGTAGAATGCGTGCCGCATCCCACAAAGGGATTGATCAACGGCGAAGACTTTATCCTTTTACCCTTTTAGCTTCCTATTCGCTCAAAATCAATACCCATACTTTCCTACTGACTTAAACGCTGGCATAGGCTGAAAAAGCCGACGCAAAGAATACAACCATTTTTAGCTGCCTTACCTTCGCAAAATATCCAAGTGCCTATTCGTCCAATGAACAGTCATTTCAGCAGCGTTCTTCACGCTCTGCTCTCCACGACATAGGGCACATTTCCGCGTTTGGGTGCACATGTACAACAGATGCGCATAACTGCCACGTACCAGCATTCGTTGACAATATCGACATGTCTGAAAATGAAGAATTGAGAACTTGAAGAAATAAAAAGGTGCAGTTCGGTTTGGTGTGGGCATTTGGTGGTTCCCATTGATCACCGCTCATCTCTCTTGTAAAGACCGGTAAATTTCTGCAAAGCTATAAGCAGTAGCATGAGCCTCGTTTACACTTGACAAGAATCTACAGGTCTTATCAAGAAGGGATGCGTAATTCTGAAGAGCGTTCATACTTCGCCATCTGATCGCGCGAGGAAAACGCTCTGTGATTCGATCGCGGCGATGGGACCGCGAAGTATGAACGCGCTCTAATAGGAGCCAGCAAAGGAAACTAACAACGATACAAAATGCCCTCCTACCTAAGCTGAACAGCGCCAATGACAAATTTTCCAGAGCACAAAACTCACCCATGAACCATCCCTCTTTTGCATGTGTCTTTCCATCAAATGAGCCTTCATTACTTCATGACTTGGAATGGGTACGTAATCTAAACAAAACAGAGAATCATATAAAAAGGAATGGCGCTGTTCGAAAAACACTTCTTCCGTGTACTGCACGAAGG